AAAAAAAAAAAAAAAAGCTATTGCTCTTAACATACTGCAAAATCAGCCCATTGTTTTGAATAGATGGTTTACTTATCTGTCTATACACCTTTTTTTTTTTTTTTTTTTCCTTTTTGGTGAAAGTTTCCAGAAGAAATTCATTTTCCATACAACAGTTAATACACATTTTGTTTCTGACATTGGTTGCAATCCCCATAATGTAACAGCTTTCTTCCCACTTCCCCCCTATGGTTACCTTTTCCCTGGATCATTTTTTCCTAAGCATTCATGCCTTCTGGGCTATCTCCCTGTGGAGATACTGCCCTTCTGATTTCCCATGGCTAATTTTTGTAAGTAGTGTACCCACCTGGCCTAAATGTCCACCTTATATGCCTGTCTGTTGCTTGACTAGAAGCCATGGGAGTGATTTCAATTCCAGGCCCCGAAAGATGACTGGGCCATAGTCTCGGGGGTTTCACCAGTCTCCACCATACTAGTAAGCCTGCTCTTTTTTATAAGTTTGATTTTTTGTTCCACATTTTTCTCCCACTCTATCTAGGTTCCCCTGCTTTTATCCCTTTCTTAGTAGTTGACAGTAGTAGCCAGACACGATCTAGTTCTTCTGGTCTCAAGGTCATGTAGGGTGAGGTTCACATGGTTTACCAGTCCCTTAGGCTAATTGTTTCCATTGTCTTTGGTTTTCTTTATTCTTCTTTGCTCCAGACAAAGAGAGATCAATTATTACATCATAGATGGCTGCTTGCAAGCTTTTAAACCCCAGGTGCTACTCACCAAGTAGGTTGTAGAACAATGTTTTTGTGTAGTATATTATGTCAATTGAGCTTGATGTCCTCTGCAATCATGGTTCCAAGCCTGTGGGCCCAGTGACTCACTATTTCAGGGTGATGGGCTATAGCTAAAAAATTATATCTATGATAACTTTAGAAGAAATTGAGGTGAACTGACTACTTCTTAAGTCATGTTTGTGTTTCACCTGGATCTTTTGAAATGAAACAATATCCAATTCTTTTTCAACTATTGTAAAATTGAACATGGCAAAAGCTGTCACAAAATAAGTATCTAACATATTGTTAGAATGGAAATAACATTGTTTATATTATAGCAAGTTAGTTTTCAGCTTTTCCTTGCCTCTGCAAAGCCATTATTTTTAAATAAAGCCCCAGGACTGGGACTGATCTTGTTTACTAATCAATATTGTCAGCATCTGACACACTGACAGGCACATAGTGGATACTCAAATAGATGAATTTTCTGTGCGTGGATGATATTGATTAGAACTGCTGAAGTTTGTAGTTAAAATATTTTAATCACCAAAAAATATAACAAGGGTGGCAGTGGCAGAATCTGGTAAATAGTTGTGGAAGACATACATAGACTAAAACATGCATGTTGCTGTTTTTAGTTGCCTTTGAATCAGTGGCAACTCTTGGCAACTTCACGTGTGCAGAGTAGAACCTACTCCATATTGTTATCAGACTTGTTAGTTCTCCTGGCAGTCCATGGTACTTTCAGCATTTTTTGCCAGAACCACAACTGAAAACTATCAACTCTTTAGTCTTCTTTATTTATTGTCCAGCTATCACATCCATATGAGGTGATTGAAAACACCATGTCTTGGTTTAGGTGACCCTTAGTCTTCAAAGAGACATCTTTGCTCTTTAGAACCTTAAGGAGGTATTTAGCATTAGATTTGCCCAGTGCAATAAGTTGTCTGATTACTTGACTGCTGCTTCCATTGGTGTTGATTGTGGAACCAAGCAATAGGAAATCTTTGACAACTTCAGTCTTTTCTCCATTTATTGTTATGTTGCTTATTGGTCCTGGATTTTTGTTTTCTCTATGTTGAGTCTTCATACTGAAGACTGTAGTCTTTAATCTTCATCAGTAAGTGCTTATAGTCATCTTCACTTCCAGCAAGCAAGGTTGTGTCATCTGCATGTTGCAGGTTGTTAATGAGTCTTCTTGCAGTCCTGACGCTGCATTCTTCTTCATATAGTCTAGCTTATCAATTATCTTATCATCAATAAGAATTACTTTAATTTTTTTTTTATTTTTATCAGTAAGAATGACTTATCTTTTCCTTCTTAACAAATGGCTAGCTGCTTTCTCATTGGTAGGAAAAGAAGGATATAGATGAAATGTGTATTGAACAACTGTGTGTCAAGCTAATTTTCCTTAAGAGTCTTCACTCAGTAAAATATGTTATATATTTAACATAGTATGAATAATGCAAATGTACTCATTGGTATAAGAGATAGTGGTCATGATTAATTCAGATTTTACTGAGTATATGTAATTTTATAAAAACATAACTTTTTGTGAATTGCTTTCTGATAGTTTTACTATATTTGATGCTTATTCCTTTGAACTTACAATTACCTCTAAATTCTAAAACTATGGAAGAATGGCAGACAAGAGGGAGGGGAGTTTTTTTTTTTTTCTTTTAATAACATAAAAAATAGAAGTCAAAGGAGTATAACAACAATGCCCAAGCCAAAAAACAACCACCAAACCCTAGAGTGACCTGCATTCCTGAAGCTGTGAAGGCAGTTGAGTGAGGGAGGTAGTAATATAAAGTACCTGTGTTCTTACTTGCCCTATTTGTTTAAATTATATATTACCGAAGAGTAACAGTGAAAACTGGGAATCTAAGCAAAACTGTGTTTCCTCTGTTGTTGGTGAGTTGGAACACTAGGGGACAGCACTGAAATATTCCATAGTTGTTTGTTATTGATCACTTACATACTGTATAATAAGTAAAAGATTTGACTGTTAAAGACTATTGAATATCCTGTTGATTTCAGTGGGTAAAAAAGCACAGAGCTTCTCAAGTCCATAATTTCAGCCTTTGTAAGAGGATGATTTCAATAATTAGGAGAAAGCTCCCAGAGGCTCAGAAGATAGTAAGGCATAGTAACTTAAAGAATTGTCACTCATCTCTTAAGAGTGTTTTGCCTTTTTATTCTTTTAGGGTTAATATTTTGCATATATATTTTTTAAGTTTCTAATCTTGTTTTCCAGGCACTTTGGAAAGACATGAAACAGGAGAAAGAGCAAGAATCATTCTTAATTGTTGTGATGATTCACATTTTCTAAAGCCTGGGTCTATACTTCCAGTTGTCACAGAGATACAGAAGCACAAAATTGTAGAACAGAGATCTCTCAGCTCCTCCTACCTTGGACCAATGCCCTCGCCTGGTCTGCAGGTGGAGTCTTCACGTAAGGTAAGTTCCAAACAGACTGCTGGTCAGGAAGAACGTAATCAACACTAGTAAGAAGTAATATGCCGTAATCATAAATCGTATATAAATATCATCAGAAAAACGAGAACTCAGAGAGGAGTGCATTTGCCAGACATATCATCTAAGTGATCCTGGTGAATCTGGATAGTTTTTTAAGTGACAGTTATATTTGTTATAAAATTCTTTTTGACAAGACTGTTGCTTCTGGCTTGTCAAAATAGAGTGAATTTTATACTAACTCTTTAATTTTAGATGGTTTTCAATGGGGAGAAATAAAGCTATGTTCTGTGGATTGGATTCATTTTTATTTTTCAGTTGCAGGCCTTTGACCTCTTTTTAGAAACATTTATTCCAAATAAACAAAAAAATTTCAGAAAAACATTGTAGGGACAGTTTTTATCTTTCAGAGTACATAGTATCTATTGGATCACAAGCACTTAGGATTCCCAGTCTAGTTCATGTACAATAATAGAGTTTGCATTTATCCTCAATAAACTAAGTCAACTACCTGAGCAGGAATTTGGATTAATTTTATTATTTTTCAGTTCTAAAAATGATGTGGTAATTTAATCTGATTTCTTTAAGGGACTCTGTTCTATTATTTTTGCTTTCGAAACCTCCAGGATACCTCTTCATCATGCTGTTGTAACTATGTTATTTATATGCACATATGTAGTACTATAGTATCTTTTTTCTTGTGAACATATTTTCATAATATTGCCTTATGTCTATGAATGTTATTTTAATGCCTGTAATATAATAATGACTAAGTTGTTTTCCTATAGCTTAATATATCAATTGTAATTTTATGTTTCACTTTTGTAACTAACACATGTATGAACCTAAGACTTGTTTTCATATTCAAGATTATTTACTAGGATATAGTTTAAAAGTGGGATTTTTGAGTCAAAACTTAGCTGATTTTTAATTACATGTATTATATTTTTCATTATTTTAGTGATATTATGAAGAGTTTTCAAATACCATTAATAAGGATTTTAGATCAGATACTGTTTTATCACATGTCTACATTTTACACTTGGAGGAAACAGGATGTGCCATCATCTGGGAAAGCCAGTTGGCTGCTCACACCATTGCCTCAGTGTGGCAGCATTCAGGGTGATCTTTGGCTTTTTATGTTTAGAGATTTGATTAGTATTTATCAGTGAGGCCAGGGTTTATCATTTTTTTCAGAACTGAGTCACACTAACCAAACTCCTAAGACCTGAGTATATAAACCAAAATGACAATTCTTTAATTTACCATGATAAGTATAATTGTAAATCTGTCCATTGCTTAGCATATTTTTACTGTAGCAAAACTACAATAAGAGTCATATTTTCTTGTTGGGCATAGAGTCAACTAGGGTGAATTCAATAGATGACCTTAAAGACTTACTGTATTTTTATGCAAATAACTAATACATTTTATGTTTTTTGCCAACTACACCACCCCTCAGACATTATTTTCCTATGTATGTTATATGTATGTGGGTGCATTATTTACATGGGCACATTATTTGTGAAAAATACAGAATATTGTTCAGCTCTGAGAGTCTGATGCAGTCTTGTCTTTCAGACTGTCAGGGTACCATCTTCCTTGGTCAAGTGAATTGAAATATTTATGAATTTTGCATTTGTCTTTTCAAGACTGTGTTTTGATTATCCACTTTTGTTTATTCATCTTCCTTCAGATGTTAAAGCCAGTGATTAGGTTACAACTTTTTTTTTTCCTCATTTACTCAAAATGCTTTTAGATTTTCAAAACGTACTCTTCATGTTTTTAACTTGAAAAAGGTTTTGTCTTTTAAGGACAATTTTTTAGATATGGTAGAACTTCCACATTCGCAACTGAATAGGAAAAGTCATGATAATAATCAGTCCTCTAATGCATGGAATTTAAGCACACTTATACATATTATAAAGATTTTGTAAAAGCCACTACGTGAGCCCAGCAAACTGCTTAACATGCTGATCTTCATGTGACATTGTTTTTCTCTGTTTGTAATAGAGCACATGTCTCATTGTGGAAATAATGCTGTGTTCACTTTCTAGTCTTGCAGATAAAGATGTGTATAGATTTTGGGGAAAGATTTTAAAGAGAACCATAAATACAATAAAATATTTTGAAAATGAGTCCAATTTGAATGCTGGAGAAGTTGAGTTGGTTCATCTAGACAAAAGTCTTTAGGGGTAGGAAAGGGCCAGAATCTTAAAGGAATTAAAGGAATACAATAATATATTAGTGATCGGGATTTGCTGTTCTCAGATTCTGCTGAAGATAAAACAAGATAGAACCTATTTATATGGCAGTGGGAGAAATTTAGCATCAAAGTAAAGAATTAAGACTTTACTAAAATCCCCAGTACATGGCGGAAATCTTTGTAGCTTCATCATGTTTTAAGGAAAAGGGGCCTTTTTCCTTTGTTGTTTGGTTTTAAGTTCTTTTTGTGGATTTCTTGTCTGTAAAATGAGTATAAGGATAAAAAAAGATTATTTTAACTGCCACAATTTATGTCTATTTGAGTATCTGGGATTTTTTTTTTTTTTTTTAATTCATTTTCTGTGAAATGGGTGTCCCACAAGCTATACCTCGTTGGTTATTATTACTGTCTAATAAGGTAGCATTAACCATGTGTTTCTGTTGAGCACTTGAAGTGTGGCTAGCACCTCATGTTAAATTTTAAATATTCAATGATAATATTTTGGCTACATAAATATATATGTGTGTGTGTGTGT